TGGGTCCAATGTTGCCCTTGCTTTTCCTCCGGCTCCCCACATAGCTGAAAAAGGACTTTTTATTGTCCTTGATGCTTGAAGCTAGTTGGAGTTCAGTAGCAGCCTTGGCTTTCCTGGTTTGCTCCCTGCAGGACCGGATCAGTGCAGAATATTCCTCCTTGGAGGTGAATCCCATCCTCCATCCTTCGTAGGCCTTTCTTTTTAGCCTCAGGAGGTCTGCTAGATCTGGAGATCCAGGGGGGCTGCTGTGCCCTCTTGCTGCCTTTCCTCCGAGATGGAACAGAATTGGCTTGTGCATTGAGGATCGCTCCCTTGAGGAGCAACCACTCTTCCTGGACTCCCCTCCCCCTGGGGTCGTGGTCCCTTAGGGCCTCACTGACAAGCCTCCTGAGCTTGTCAAAGTCGGCTTTCCTGAAGTCAAGGACTTCAGTGTTGCTGACTGACTTGCCAGCTTTACGGTGGATGGTGAAGGTGATCAGCTCATGGTCATTGTCACCCAGCTTCCCATCAATCACTAGGTCGCCGATTCCTTGTTAGATGTTGGTTTTTTTGCATTGCAGATTATAGCACAATACTGCAAGGGGTTGTTTTCACTTAAGAACCTCCACTGGCCAGATGAGTGGCATGGGGTCAGTCTGTGGGCTGGACCATATGTGGGATTGCCACGTGGATCAGTCTATAGGTGCAATCCAGTGAACTAGTCCAAACCCATGTGCCCAGCTTTGCTTGTGTCCCATGCCCACCCGATCCTGCCTGCCTGGATCTGCCTGCATGCTGGCCTGGCCTTGTAGACTGATGGAATCTAACTTGAGGACATTGTTTCTGGCCCACAAGATTTCCCAGAAGTCCAGAGATCTGGCAGCAGGGTGTGGCATTTAATGATACCAAAGTTCCCATGCTGACAAATTTCCAGGCCCTTGATCTCCAGAATGACATGCCTCTCAGGCCAGAGGTTGAGCATCACTGCTTTATATTATACTATCAAATAAACTAATCAATATTAATAAAAAATCCCTCAAATTCTCCCAAGGAAGCTTATAAAATATAGTCTAGGAAAAGGAGCATGCAGTAAAACAGCCAAAGCATTCCATAAGGTGATATTCTGACCTCTTGTTTCTTCTTAATATACAATACTATTTGTTATTGATCGGAGGAAAATGTAAGCTGAGGAAAAAAAAGAAATAAAACCCTTATGTTTTGCAACTTCATTTCTGACAGGTTTTTTTTCTGGAAGAGAATTTATTTAAATGCTTGTATTCCATTGGAAAATTAGACTATCCGTAGGAAGCGTGTGGGTCAGTGCTGGAGATGTACTCTCTCATAATCTAACTGATACATTAAGCAGTATGGGAGCAATTTTATTTATTATATCTTCTTCAAATAGAAATAGAGAGATTTATGCTATGGATTGATGTATACAAGTGTAACATGCATTGTACTACTTTACTATATTCTGGCGTAACATTTATGATACATGTAGTATCTCTGCTAATATCATTAGTAGTAGCATAACCAGAGGTGAGCTGAGCAGGGTGCAGGGCCCAGGACAAATCAGCCTGTGCAGGGCCCTGCCCCTGGACACAAGGAAGCCAGTGGCAGATTTGGTGGCGGGGGGGGCAGTGCTGAGTGTCTGGACATGAAGCTGGCGGCAGCATGAAGTCACCATGTCCGCTCCGCCTGGCTCTGTGGGGCCCCCCAAAGTACAGGGCCTGGGGTTCTAACCCTGATTCGTACCCCCCCAGGGATGGCCCTGAGCATAACTGTGGGAGTGGACAACTTGGGGTAGTAGTCCTGGGTGCAACCTTTTTGGGAGGTGGAGACAAAAATAGTTGTCATTGCAGTGGCAGCTTAACATGCTGCTGATGTGCCTACTGCCACAGTGCCATACCCTGGTCAAGGAGCTGCCTTGCTATGCCTCTGATTATTTGTACAATACATTACTGTAGTTAGTGATGTAGTACACAAGCAGGCACATCTACACATATATATTAATGCACTTGAATAAACTCTGGAGTTTATTGCTCCAGTGTTTATTGCTCTTGGGCACACATCTTCACCTGTGCCCAGAACTGCAGCATATTGTACCAGGGTGGAAGGGGGGAATAATGCCAAAGGTAAGTAAGGGAGACTATACTGTAGTTCAGTTCTCCAAGATGGAAAAGAGGCAGTCTATGAAAAAGTAAATAGCTGGAAATTAGGAAGACAAAGGGTAGAAAAGGAGGGGACAGAAGGAAAGGGGGGAAAGCGTAAATGGTAAGGTCAAGCAGGTACCTGGTGAATCAGATGTCAGGCAGGTTGTAATGTGTCATAAATCCAGTGTCTATATTAAGTCCGTGATTTTTTGTATCCAGTACATTTATGAAGTGAAGTTCCTAGGCTCATCTACAAAAGGTGCTTTGTAAGTTCCCTTTGAGGATTAGACCTGAGAGATCAGAGAGGGAGTTGATTGTCTTGTGAGAAGTAGGTGCCCAAAGGTAATTGGATATTTTTCTCTTTGATGGCTTTTCAGTGTGTTGTTCATTCTGGTGTGCAGTTGTTGTTTGGTTTCTCCGACATATTTTTTGATCAGGGCATTTGGTGCACTGGATGAGATATATAACATTTCTGGAGGTGTAGTTTAAGATGCAGAAATAGTGATGCTTCTGTTATAGGGAGTAGTTATTGCAGGAGTGGTGGCGATATGTTGGCAGGTTTTGCATTCTTGGCCCAGCATGGTCTGGATCCATTAAGTGTGGTTTGGGTCATAAGGAGTTTTTTCTGGTGATGAGGTTAGTGAGGTTTGGTGCTTGTTTAAAGACTAGGATGGGTGGTTCTGGAAAGATCTGTTTAAGAATTAGGTCTTCTTCTAGTATGGGTTGCAATTGTTTGAGGATTTTCCATGTAGGTTCCAGGTAAGAGTGGTATGTCTTAACTAATGGGGATTCATGGGGATTTTTTTTTCCGTATTGCAGCAAATCTATATGTGGCATTCGGGTGGCTCTTTCAAAAGTAGAATCAATCTCTCTTGAGGAGTGTCCTTGTTGGGTGAAGGTCCTTTTGAGATTTATGAGGTGGCAATCAGGGGTATTCTCCTTCGTAGATATGTATGTTGGTCTATGGGTTTCTTGTATATGGTGTTGTAACAGGGTGTCATACTCAGCAGCATTTGGAAATGCCTGGGGGCACCCCAGAGTACCTTTATATTTGAATTTTGCTCTGGGAACAGACTCCCCTTCGCTTTCCTACCACATGTTGATTTTTTTTGGTTCTCAAGGAGGAGGCTGCCCCAAGGCTTCTCAGATATGGTCTGTGCTCACAAAACACCCAGAGGTGATTAGCTTCTGCCTTACGGGCTATTTGCATGACTCTGACCTACCTTTATCATGCCCCATGCCTCGTAGGTGTCATTTGCATCTTCTGCTCACTCTGGGGTCTGAGCCATGCAGCTTCCACTCCATTTTATACAGCTAAGCCATCTGGCTCAGACCCACTATGTTGGGCCCAGCTTGGAGGTACTAGCTTCAATCAACATGACTCTTGTCTCTGGGCTCTCTAGCTCCTGAAGCTGCACCCTTGTAGGCACTTATGAGACCTCCACCTCCCCTATAGCCTCAGTTGCAAATAATTGGGTTAAACTTCAACATAAAGACTAAGCCCCTGGGCTAAAGCAAAGCAAAAAAAAAAAAAGAGAGAGACAATTAGTTTACTTACTAATTGTCCCCTGGTTCCACATCCCTGGATCACTCAGCTGGGTGCTCTCACTGGCAGGGCTGCTTCACAGTTTCTTGGAGTCATCAGGAGTCCACTCTCAGCCACAACCTGGGTTGGTCACCCTCTTCCCTGGCTGGCACAGCTCAAAGGCTTATATAGCCTTGGCTTGAACTCCCACACAGTCATGTGACCACCCCAGTCAGCTGACCGGCCTGCAGGGTTACCCTTTTAACCCCTGCTTTGTTGGCAGGCTGTGTTCGGAAGACTCTGGTCTTAAAGGGAACACACTGTTTCTTAGTAACATGGTTAGGGTTTCCTGTTACAGGTGTTTTGTATTTTACCATTTTGCATATTGATCATGGTATCCAAAAAGAAAGTTCTGGTGTTAAGAGTATTCAAGTGACAGGTCAGATAAAGAATTTTTTTCCCCAACTCTAGTCAGAGATCAATTTATGCCCTAAAGAATTATCATAAGAACTCTTCCTTTAAGAGTCAGACCAAGATTTTAAATGTTCCCACACAAAATGTGAATAAATGAGCTTGATCCAGATTTGAACTTTCCCATATTTTAAGGATACTTAAGTTTGGATTTAAATGCACCTATTATAGGGACAGATGATTAATAATAAAATCCAAATCTGGATTACAACATTTTCCTAAGGTTTAGGCTGAGCTGGATTCTGAGTGTTATTTATACTCATCTCCTTTCAAAGCATCAGTAAGCACCTGATTTAAAAAGAAAAAAGTATGTAATTGACTAATAAAAATTCAGGCTTTTATGTTTGAATTGTGCTTGAGTTTGCCATAGTATCACCATAAAACCTTAGATATCAAGAACTGAGCTTTAGTTCAAATATCTGTCTCAGCTCTAGATTTCCTGCTTCTTATCAATGCACTTTAAAAAGCTGACTTTACTGCTCCATAAATGTGCTTGCTCAGTCCAGCAAATCAAACTTAGCTGCTTATAAGTGACAAGCTATTTTCTGGTGCACACAGGTTTCTGTGCAGCACTTATCTGTATAAAATCTCTCTTTTTTGAGATCTTTATTTCAAAGAATATGAGGCATTTTCCTTTTGCAGCATGAACCAGCATCAAAAGGATTAATGTTCTTATAAATGCAGTTTTGAACCCTAGATTGGGGGGATAGCCAAAAATATATCCTCTTTTTCTAGAACTTGTCAACAAAAATATCTGACTACATTGTTTATAAAAATAAATGACAAATAAGTCTGGGCTGAAGGAGTCTAGACTAACCTTGAGCACTTGGAGGTCAGGCCTGTAGGAACAGGATGGGTGGTATTTGCTTCATGCTTTTAGACATCACCTTGAAGCTGATTTATATCAGTTTTCCAGTTTCTGAGTAAACTGCTGGAGTGTTTTAAGGGTGAATTGGATGTTATAGTCTTTTTGCCTTATGTACAGGCAGCCAGCAAAGGACGTCGATGCAGAAAATGGTAGGACAAAAAGAAGCAACTGAAGTTAGATTCACATTTTGTATTTGGTCTTCATGTGATGCTGCAACCTTTGCTTCTAGATGCTGAAAATCCCTAATTCTGCGCTCTTGACTCGTGTCAGGTAAGGTGATTGAGCATGTACTCTTGTCCTTGTTTGCTTTTCCTTATCTATATTAAAGCGGATTGTTTGACACCAGCATTTTCAACAGGGCCTTCTGTTGACTTCTTTGCTTTGATGGCAGAATAACTGCATGTACAAGGGCAAGCAGGTATAAGAAAGCTGTTTTTTCCCCGTCCCTTGTGTTTGCTGCTTTTTTCCCCATTCCTCATGTTTTTACTGATCACATCTTAGCTGTCACTTGAAATGACCAAATTGTTAAAGCCAGAGATACAGAGCATGATTCAGATTAGGGGTAGATGGTGTTTGTATCTGTATGGCAGAGAAATAGATATGAGTGCAAGGGTCCAAGAATTTTATCCCTACTTTGTTTTTCTACAAAAGGCTAAAGTTTGTGTTAGCAGTACAGACCTGGAGTTGGTGCAGCTTTATCCTTCCTTTCCCTATACCAGTCATGGGAGTTGAGCCTCTGCATGAAGTAGAGGATCATAATGTACTGTTCATGGAATGGCAGTCATAATTTTCATATATATATTTTCCCCCTTTGCGCCCCCCCCTCCAATCTTCTATAACAAAAGTGGATGATTCATCTGTGACTCAATTTTCTTTTTAACTTAAGTGTTCTTACTAAATCAGTCAGAATGTCTCCAGGGACTCCTGCTGCTGTAGTGCACTTCACCATATCTTTTTCCCTCTTTTTACCTCCCCCACAAGGTGGGTGGTAGTCTACCTATCAAAATATAGTCCTTAATACTAACTGCAGTATGTTAAATGCTAAATATTCTACTTTAGTAAACTGTTCCTTGGAGTCTGATCTCCAGCTTTGCCTAATGTTGTCACATGGTGCATTAGCCCTTTAAGAAAGTTGTGTCTTATTCTGACTTCTGTCAAGGGTTGTGTGACGAAACCATGGGATTAGAATCCAGGTTTACTGGGAGTATAAGGATGGCCTGAGTTCAGTTCAAGAGTTCGATGCACCCTGCTGGGAAGCAGATACATGACATCTCTAGATTTCCTAGGAAGAAGGCATGAAGCTCTCAAGATGGGCTGTACTGCTTCCATGGGATTCATGAGAGCACTGCTAAGAGGCACACTCCACCCACCCATTCCCACTCTGTGTATGTCAAAACTGGAAATGAGGCAGTGAAGCCTTCCTGAGGGTCTCCTGCCATTGCCTGTGAACATACCAGAGCCAGAAAACTCAACAGCACCTGTAGTCTCCAGAAAGGTCTCATTTCTGGGTTTGGCACATACAGAATAGAAGTGTGTGGATAGGAGGTGGTGGTACTCTTGGGGCACCAAAGAAATGAGCAAGACATGTCTTTCAATTAACTGGGACTTGCAGCTTAGTAGAAGTCTGCTGAAAGATCAGGACCAGGTTGGTAGGAAGCCCAGCTAGGAAGGTTTCAAAACACTTTGAGCTTGAAAGAAAGGCTGTAAAGAAGGGAAAGTCCTCACAGAGAACCTGAAACTGTTGAACTTAGAAGGAAAGCTAGAAGGATACTGAAACTCACTGTAAACTGAAAGAACTGACTAAGCTTGGAGAAGAGGACTGGGAGTTCCTGGAATATTATGCTATGTTAACACTAGAAGGTTTTATTGTAGGAAGATGAGTATTATGAAAATACCAAATGAGGAAGTTTGTTTATGTAAGATAGCAGGTAAACCAAGAGAACAGCAATGTTCAAAGCCAGACATGAAAACTCCTCCTGTAGGCATCATAATTAGTCTAAAAACTATGGAGTGGCACCATTTATTAATTTTGTCTGGTTTTTTTTTTTTGCTTAGATTGCTAAAGAACCTCTTATTACTAGTTTTAATTTCCTTTAGAAGGTATAATTCAGTTTGACTTCTGGCAACTCCCATCTTACCCCTACACTTCTTTGTCTCAGACATATAGCGTTCTTTTCTGATAAGTCCACTTTTCCATTCTCTGTAAGCTTCCTGATTAATATCCATTTTGAGACAGTTATTCAAATCAATTAGATCTTGTGTACAAGCTTTTCCCCCTTTTGCCTGTGTTGTAAATTTTTTACTTTTGACTTGCCATATTTATTAACTATAAGAAGACCCTGGGTGCATCTATGTGCAATTAATGTGACTGAATGTACTCCAGGTTAATTTGAGCCAGAGTAAACTAATTCCGATGTCACTGTCTACATGTGCATTTAAGTGAAGAAACTGACTTCGCTGCTGGCTACCACTTGTATCTAACAGGACTATCCTGCGGTGCAGTAAATTAGCCTGCTGTGATCTAATTGCCATGCATGTGTAGATGGTTGATGCTTTACTGTGCAGCAAATTAGTCTGCTCTGCAGTAAATCATTTTGTGTAGACGCACCCTCTGATTGTAAGATGACCCCCCTTATAATTAGATTCTATATATGGAAAATTTATAAATTTGTTATCATCTTCCAGGCTTAAAATGCTGGTTAAAAGTGTGTTTTCCCTGTTGTAGCACTGGGAGGGGGACAAATTCAAGGCCAACCTCCAATAATTAAATCTAATTAGAACCTAATTTTTGAAGGTTGGCCTTGAATTTGTCCCCCTCCTAGTGCTACAGACGGAAAAACACACTTTTAACCAGCATTTTAGCACCTAGTTATATACAGTACAAACTGTGTATGATATTAGGTCAAAGCCAAAAGGCTTATGATTTACCATGTAGTTCATTAGGTTGAGCCCCAGCAGTCAATAGCATTTTAAGCCATAGTGACCCCATAGCTCAGTACTGCTTAGGTGGTGTGTGTACTCCAGATACCCCCACAAAGGATCAATCTGCTAATTAGCTCCCCCACTCATGACAGGAATTAGGTGGTGTTGTCATGATTCCTGGGATCCTCCAAAAATTGATATTCAGGTGAGGCTCAGGGAAACCTGGTCTGGCTTCACCTCATGGAGGCAGGGCCCCACTAATCATGTGTTACAGGCTGAGAGAGGGGGTGGCAGGGGGATTCTGGGTAAACTGTTTGTGGCTCCATTTGGTTTGCCAGACATTTATTTCATAGATTTCATAGACATTTGGGCTGGAAGGGACCCCGGAGGATCATCGAGTCCAGCCCCCTGCCCCAGGGGCAGGAAGTCATCAGGGATCATAGGATCCGAACAAGATAATCATTCAAATGTGTCTTGAAGGCATTCAAAGTGGGTGCTTGAACCGTCTCTGGCAGCAGTCTATTCCAAACCTTGGGGGCTCAGACAGTGAAGAAGTTCTTCCTTATGTCCAGCCTGAATCGGTCACAGTGGAGTTTGTGACCATTTGATCTTGTCATCCCTTGGGGGGCTCTGGTGAACAGATGTTCCCCCAGATCCTGATGAGCACCCCTGATAAACTTATAGGTGGCCACCAGATCACCCCTGAGCCTGCGCTTTTCCAGGCTGAATAGCCCCATGGCTCTCAGACTCTCATCATAAGGTCTCTTTTCCTGACCTCTGATCATGTGCGTGGCTCTCCTCTGCACTCTCTCAAGCTTCTCCACATCCTTTTTGAACTGTAGAGCCCAAAACTGGATGCAGTACTCCAGCTGAGGCCTCACCAAGGCTGAG